CACCACAGAGCATCTAGAATCCAAAAAAAATTCGGGGCCCTTTAAAGCGGGCCCCGAACCCCACGCCTCAAGGGCTTCGCGCTTCACGCTCGCATCAGTTCTGATCAAGGTATGATCCCCCACTATTGAAAAACGAATGACACCCCTGGTTGGGGTTGAAATTTGACAATAGGCCTTATACCTAAGTGAGTATGGCGACACAAAATTAGAAAAATGATTCGAAAAATAGGGATATACCGTAATTTTTGGAATATAAGCCGCGCGGTGTATAAGCCGCAGCACGCAAAAATCTGCAAATTAAGATCTGAAGTCGGCGTATATAAGCCACCTCCAAAAATTCTAGTCAAAAAGCTCTGAACCAGTTCCAGTTACACTACAGAAGCTATAAAAAGGGCCACAAAATTTATATCAAATCATTTTCAATCGATACTCTTACAAACAAATATGGAAATTGATGATAAGAAATAAACACCGGGAAGTGCTGCCGGCTGCCCCGTCCCGGTCCCCGGCCTTAAAAGTTAGTGCATGGCCGGCCAGGCAGCCTAGCTGCGCCGCGCCGGTGAATGACAACATTTTCCCGCAGTACGTGAGAGAGTATGCAACCCACCGAGTGTTGTCTGACTGGAGCGCTACAAATCTTGCTTTTGTGGCAACAGATGCTGACATGTTTTGTCTTAAGAATAAACAGGTCCGTTTTTATCTCAAAACTTTTAAAATTTTTGTTAATACTAGCGAATAGTAACGTAAAAAATTTAAGTTTCGATCGTAACTTTCTTCAAAAATAGTCAAAAACAAAGACCCTTTAGCGCCGTAGGAAACGATGCTGACATTTTTATGGACGAATCCATTAATTTTGTAAGGGGTGATTTAGTCCCTGTTTTGAGTTTTACATCGTTTCTTGAATTCGTTTCAAGAAAAAAATATATACTGTGACGTTAAACAACTTATTATCTAATAAAGAAATGTTTCGAACACCATAAAAAAGTATTAGTCGTCTTTTTTCGTGTTTTTTAAATGCAGAAATATTGGTAAATATTGTTCCCAAGAAAGTACACCCCTTCATTACCACAAATGGTGTGGTCCGCTGGGGGAAAGCATGCAGCTAGCTGCACACCACCCATGGTATCACTTTTTACCGCTCGGTACCTTGGTTTCGGTTTGTTAATGACTTTTTAATTGATAATTAATTTCAGCAACACCTCTCTTCTTATACCAGTACATTAACTACACATGTGAATCTTATTTTTATTTTTCAAGGCTCAGCGTATAAGCCGCCCTGTGTATAAGCCGCAGTAAACATACGTAGGTCACACGTTTCGGACCAACTTCACACTTTTCCCATTTGCTTTGATTTTGCTCCGGAAACAGTAACTGGACCTTGCCCCCCCCCCCCCCCCCCCCACTTTTAAAAGTGTTCCGCCGCCGATGGCTCAGTGCCACTGTGGAGATATGGTTTGTGCGCAGGTAGCACTAGAAACCATGGGCCCAGCCCCAATCAACCACAATGCACCCGCAAGTGTATGGCTAAACTGTCCAACAGTTCGCCCGCGCGTAGCATATAGCGCCAAACACCATATAGCAATACACACCACAGCGAGAGCACACTCAACTCATGTTTGTATAGCTCGCTGCCACTTGCCAGATACTACATGGACTGTCATTGCTTTTCTTTTCATTCATTATTTGTATAATTTCGTTCCCTTAAATAGGTTATTTTTACAGCAATTTAGGGCATTTTTCTTTTGTGGTTTGGAAATGTGGTTTGGAGAATTTTGTTTCTCAAAGGAAAACAAGTATCGATGAATGTAATATCGCTTCAATTGTGCATAATAGTGGTAAAGATCTGGCGATTTTTCGTTTAAACGGAAGGGCACAATTTTGAAAGAGAGAGACCTAAAATTAGAGATAATCTTGGAAGATAAGAAGGGTATAATACAATTTTAAAAGGTTACGTATTGTAAGGTTGTGCGTTTACATTTTTTTTATGGATATGACCTTATATCAGGAGTGTGGTTTCGTTTTGGAATATACAGAGGTGAAGGGATAACTATAGTGTCGAAAATGTGTAGGTACACGTTGACCTTTGGGCTATTTTTGCCCTCCTGGTTGCTACTTCGGGGTAACCTTATGACCCGAAATCACTTTGTTCGGCGATTATGATGCTCATGGACTTTTTGTCTTTAAATTGTATACAAACAGCTAGAAAACAGAACCAAAACCGAAAGAATTGTAGGGGTGGGGCGTTGGGTACGAGAAATGTGTCAGTGTTTCTGGGCGCTCTCTGTTGGTAAAATAACGTCGGTACAGATGATGACGTTAACTTGATTACGAGACTTTGCTTAACAGATGGAAAGAAATACAAAGTGGGTAGTTTGTTCACTTTTCATGCATTTTATTTTATGGGCGGGGGACAATCAAACTTGAACTGACAGCAGGTCGTTTCGTTCATCTCATCTTTACGCAAAGCACATCGGCCGATGAAATACAAATTAAGCTAGAAATGTGTTTGTGTACGAAAACAAGCTGTTTCGTCTGTTTTTGAAATGGCTCTGTGAGATGTGATGACTCATCATAATATTTCATTATAAATGTCATATACATGAATAATACACAACACTATACACAAAGTACAACTGAATCAGACCTTTACTTCTCGGGAGACCCCAGCAAATTGCGCCTTAAATGTGAGGTCACATGACACGTCATCACGACTTAAATTTCCATTTATAACACGTTCCTGTCTGTAATGATTCAACCCAATTGGATTTGTCTTCAGGAGATGTCTTCAGGAGATATAGGGCTTTCAAAAATGCACCTTTAATGTGACGCAGCTTGACACCTGATGACGCCATGGTGACAAGAATCTTTGGGGACCATCTGCGGGTGTCGGTCTATCTGTATACTGAGTCTGAAGTCGAAATTCCATCTACAATCGCGATGTTTAATGATGACCTGGATGTTCAATACTAACATATGAGGTTATCCGAGAACTTGGCACAGGAGCTGTCGTTGCCAAGAAATTCGAGAAAAAATTTGAGACCCGATGAAGATTTTGGGTTCAGCGGAATTTCTGAAAAGTCACGCACGGTCGACTGAATCCTTTACATGCCGAACAATAGGAGTCCTCCGGGGTACCTGTTGAATCGTATGCGCATGCGCTTAAAAATAACAATGATTCATGTTTGTAACCTTATAAATAATTCAACCAAGGCCTCATAAAATGTTTAAAAAAGGTCTCGCGGCTTCGCCAATCTTTCGCGCCGAGTTCGCCCAGGCTCCGCTCTGCTTCGTGGCTTCGCAGCTTCACCAAAGCCAAGATAGCCAGTATGGCGCAAGGTTCCACTGTTTAGTAAACGCTCTAAGCCATTTGACGGCATTTCAACAAATGACGCGGTAAATGTCAACATCCCTAGATATAGATAATGTTTTCAAGATCCCTATAGGATGTTTCAGGAGGAAACTAACCAAGTACCTACTAAATGGGTCGTTCATCGCGTCATCTATTCATGGTGCACTTGTCGGACAGCATGTACAATAAAGTAACATGGGAGTCACGAGGAGGGGGACCAAGGGAATTTTCTTCTTTCCCTTGACAAAAATAAAATAAAGAAAGAAACACAAAATGAAGAGAAAACAATATACAATATACATATTTCCTTGCTGACGAAATAGTGGTCACTTTTACAGACAATCAAATGTGCACTGGCCGCAAATCCATTCTGCTTTCTAATCCTATCGCAATGCACATCTGCTGATCCGATTCGAGTTATGATTCGATCATGGAACAAATCAAGCAAATACTAAACAAGCAAGACCAAATACATGGTTTATTTATAGGCATTTTTTATTTCACAAATAGGAACATAACCGCTGAGCAAAAACAGCAGTTGAATAATAAATGTACAATATTGGTGTATCCCTCAATGAGATCAAGATGGCTTCTCTTTTATTCTTTTCTTTTCTTAAGATTCCTGCTTTCACAAAAGCTAACCTCCACTGTATTTGACCTCTAAAAGTTTGTAATTTTGGAATGCTGATAAACCTGTACATCCACAGCAATAAGGCATCACATTGATAAAATTGTATTACAATATATTGGCAATAAAATGTTACTTTGCCGTAACAATACACTATACATCTAACACCAAAATATACACCTAAATTATTGTACAATGATTTAATATCGTGACTTAAGGTGTCTTATATTTACAGCAAAATACCACAGTGAATAACATCTAGAAGCAAAAGCCCCATCATACTCGGCACAAAAGCGAACGCGAACGCGAGTTTGTGTTGTCACGGCAATTTGCCGCGCTGTGAGTTGGCAAAAGAAAAACCACACTTTTCAACTCAGGCGAATTTATCGGCGAATGCTTCCTGACGTCAGATGCGCTTCGCAATCGAATTCGAGTGTAGTATGAACCGGCCCTTATTCAAACAGTTTGATTACTAAAATATTTCAATTATCGAGAGGTTCCCACAATTCACTTTGATTTTGCGAGTTTATTGTTTTGGTCAATTATGTATTCCGTTTTTAACAGTTCATTTTTCTATTCTTTTTTTTATTCTGTATTTCGAACAATGTATGAACATAATACATGTACATTGTATTGAAGATTTAAGATGGCAGCACAGCTTAATATATATTTTGTTTTTACTGTACAACAAAGTACTACAATTATAGTTTAGACGTTTCTACTTAAAGCGAAAATACTATGAAAAAAAGGAAAAAGAAAACCGCTATAACTTTTCAAGAGATACACAATGCCAAGTTTTCACACGTACCGCGCTTTCACTTTTCTCAAGATACAAATTCACGCAAGGGCCCTTATAGTGATTATTCCAAATCCTCAGTTTGTTTTTACTTTCTGAAAAATATTCCTCTTACCAAATATACTAATTTTTCTAATAATCAATATTCAATATAGTTGTCGAATTTCTTTTGCATTGAATGAAATGTCAGCGCTGTCGAACACAATAACCTGAATGTTTCAGCTGAATTAATCACGGCATCCAAGCAGCTCCAATCGCAGAGCAGCATGCTCATACCGTTCAATAAGCTCAATGCGGACTACCGTGGCGACCACACTCTCAGCAAACAGGTTAGTGACCGGGATTTGGCCATCAGTGTTACCGATGAACACCTGAAATGAATCCCAATGCAATTAACGCGCGTTAGCAACAAAAGTAGCCTCCTTGCAGTAACGTCTTAGACCAAGACCTTTAAAAGAGCGGGCAATCTCAACAGAGGGAGTCGTCCTTCCAAACAGAATGCCAACAAACCGTAAATATATAAAAAGTAAACTGTGTGTCCTGGGTGGGACTCACTTTAAAGTTCATATTCAGCCATATAAACCTCACTAGACTGGGCTCCATGGGTTATTACTTCAGCTTCAGAGCATTTTACCTTTTTTTTTAATAAAAGCAATTTTCTCATGAATAACCTTTCTATAGGAGAATGTAGCATCAATATTTTCTGTCGTTGCTTCTTTGGTTGCTATAATTAGACATGATTTCAGAATGGATGAATGATTGCATTAGCATGGAACCGAATAACGTCGTACACAATAAAGCTATCAAAATGCAAGAAAAGCCCAAACGAAATTATAATTTAAAGAAAAAGTTACGTGTACAACATTTTTTTTTTAACTGTCCAACGTATAACAGTTAAATTCAGCTTACAGCAAGACTTAGTCACGATTGATACTCACCTTGATATTTCCGTTTCCATCTGTTACGTGTTCATAGTCAGATGAGGGCTGCTTCTTGTACGCCACCTTGTACTTCTTCACATGCCAATTTTGATTATGGTGGCCTTGTGTGATGACCCCGCTCACCACTGTAGGCTCAACGAGGTCCACCTCGATCCAGGGATTGGCATCGCTCCTGTACACAGAGGGAAGAGAGGATGAGGAACAATGAAATAACAATACTCCGCAAATCCGGTTGTGGAATGGATTTGAAAATTGAACACAATTATTGAAACTTGTTACAGTGTGCAATTCAAATGCGCATCCGGGTTGGGCTTTGGCCGGGGATGATATTTGTTTTATAATGAAAAACAAAACTAAGCAAGAAAAAGATTGTTGAATAAAATAAAACAAAACGGAATGTTATTTTTATATAATGAAAAGGAGAACCAAAAAGGAAAAACAATGCCAAACAAAATAAAACAAAATAAAAAACAAAAACAAAACCCCACTGATGCGATTACATGTGGATGTTCATTAATGAAACACACTCAGGAGCGTTTTGTGACATTATAATTATACTGAGTGAATACTAATATTGATGTAAAAGCGCTTTGATATTGGTTAAAAGTGTACGTAAGAACCCGTTATATAAACATATGAGAGTGAAGTGTCAGGTGTTGTATTTCCCTTTGATACATACCTATAGGCTAGCCATCCTCCGTTATTGTTTAGGCGTGCCTGACTCACAGGGAAATGGGTGTAACTACTGGACGCCGTGAAGCGATCATCGTGGATTGTCCCGTCCTCCATACCAAGGGGTTGCGGGCTTGAACACTCCGCTGGTAACAAACGAGTAAAGCAAACGAAACTGATTCTAATTTAAATAATAAAACATGGAAACATTGTGTGAACTATAATTTGGGGTAGAAAACCTGATGACACTTTTCATCTTATAAACCTCAATGATGAGTAACTGAAGATTCACGAATTCACGAACATTTTTATTCCAATGTAATAATGAAAATGCAAAACTTATTTCTCTTGTTTTCTAGTACTGATATGAAAACGCGATTCCATGATGCTTTCCAAACATTATTGTAACCTGGATTATTCTCTGCAGGCTGACAGTCGAAGTAAGCTTGAATTTCGTCGGAATCCTCGCTCATGAAAAGCTCGTTCAGGTAGTGGGGCGCCCCCTGGCGGTATGACGAAGCAGTGATGCGCATTCCGCCGAGGTGTATAGCAGTGCATTCGCACGGATCTTCGTACGGTAAGAACCAACGGGGTGGCATACCAGAATGTGGGTTGTACTCCGATCCGATGAAGCAGACTTGATGACACGAGATCGTCACTATAATGTACGTTTGCATGGAAAAAATACACTAGTATTAGGTTTTTTTTCATAGATCGGAGACAGTAGGAATGCGCTATATTTTATCATAATGAAAAGTTTGGGGCCCAAACGCGCAAAAGATCAATGTGTGTGAGACAGCTCCACAGCTTGCCCATTTGACCTTGCGATTTGCATACCACATGCAACACGCTGGCCACGTGAACTCACACAACCGACCACTGCAAGAAATTTTGTTTGGTTGTTTGTATCAAATATTTGAAAGAGAACTTCATCCTCTTTACAAAACCACTACCCCCAGTGCGCTCTGACATCGGGTTCTCGAGATACGTTGAGATAAACAACCCAAGGTCTCTCACAAATGGTCATTTTCTGTTCCGCTCCAAGGCAATTGCCTCATACCCCACATTTCCAAGCCAGACATAGATAGACGTAAAGCCAAAAGAATGAATTTTCATAATCTGCAACCCCCAGATTTGTGCGATCGATCTTTCTGGTAATTTCCCCACGTTAAAGCTTGTGTGTACATTTCCGGTTGAGCAGATGCGCGCTACTTTTCATTAAGTTGGGTAAATTTTAGTAAATACAACAGACTAAAAAAACCAAAAAAGCACATTTATATTGTATCGCCATGAAGGCTAACGAGAAAGATAAAATTAGCTCCCCACTCATGAAACTAATATTGCCTTCTTACTCTCCAACATACTGTGGCCTCACGCAGAAAACACTACTGAATCACCGAATAGTAATTGTGCCGCACAGGTATTAACACGGCCAAAGATTGAGGGGGTTGACTGACAAATGGGGGCGCTACTCAAGGAGCTCGGCAGTAGACTCCTTTTTTTTCCATACAACACATTATTCGCTATGGTTGCATAACAATACAAATTAAAAAAAAAACACCTCCAAACCATAGATAAGCAAAGGTATAATGTTTCAATTGACAAACAAACAAACAAACACAATTTCAGGGAAACAGGAATTAAAGAACAAATGCAAGGTCACACTTAGTGGGACTCAAACCCATGACCTACGGATGGGGACTATTGTCTGTTCAACTGAAATGTCATCCTTGGTGGGCGTCTCTGTGACCCTCGATAGAAATACTACGCGTTAAAATTCTAGATATGCAGTTATTTTTTTATAATATAAGAAAGACATCCCCGAAAAGGCTTTGTAAATTGCAACTAGAATATCAATTTGTGATAATTGATAAAATCGCCTGATCTGAATGAGTTATACGGCCAAAAATGTACCTCTCAATTCCCTTCCGATAATCTTAGATACATGCAGACTAGTGCCATATTAATACGTACACACAGCCTTAAGTCGACGTATAATCCTACAATTTTGATGATCACTTGATGGAAGTTTTTAATGAAATTTTAAAATATCTTATTTACTTCAAAGATTTGAAGAAAAATATAAACCTGACCATTTATCGTTGGCCCAGTCGGATGCTTATAGCATGGCACCAGTAATCTGCTCAGACAAACTCAGTAAAATCTAGAACCCATCGAAACCTTCACAACATTCTAACATTTCCCATTCTTGTGGAAGTGATGCGAAATAAAACTAGCGGCGCACAGCGAAAGAGACTTAGGGACCGTAATATCGGAAATGAAAGGTCGTAAATGAAATTCTTTCAAGTGATTTTGTTTTTGCAAATTTACTCGTAGAGTACCCACGCAGATAAAATTCAAAAAGTAATTTTTCATGGCGTCGTTACAATTTGAAATCATTTTCCCCAAAAATATAAGATAGAAGGCAAAATTGCAACACAATGAAAAGTACTCACAGATGAGCCGCGAGACCTTTCAGTTTCAGACTCTATATTCATATGTCACCGATACACGGCAAGTACCTCCTCAGTAGTGACGTCTGGTGGTAAACCCATTCTTCACTAGATTTGACCCAAAAAATACTTTAGTCTGCCTCGGACGACCAGGTTTGCACAAAACAATAGCAATCCTTCAAAATATTCTCCAAAATAGCGTTTTGGAGCCTTTGAAAAGAAAACAATGTGAAGGACAGTGTTCAGAAATGCAAGGTTCGTAGACATCACATAATTGTATCAGGCGCGGGCCATATGTGAAATCTTTTATTACCCAAACCTGAGAGAATTCACAGATTAAAATGTATAGTCACGTGACCAAGTACAATTACTAGGAATCAAATGTGGCCGCCATTGACGCGAAAAGCGGCTTTTTCCTTGTTCCCCCATTTTTTTTTTACAAAACTGTCTTGTTTTCGGGTAGGCTAATTCAAGACTTCTTAATTTAAAAGAAATCAAGAACATATAATATTACCTTATGAATCGTATTGTGCACATATTTAACAAAATCTCGGTTTGCCCCCACAAATAGGTAGACCTATAACGCCCTTTTACGATGACTTTATAGTACCAAAATGTTGACTAAAAACCCAAATTATGAATGTATTTACACATCTGAAGTGACATACCCTCTGTTGGCCAACCAACACAACTGATAATTTCAGGACAATCGGCCGACGTAAAAATTCAACGGAGAAGTACCATTGCAACTTGGGGTTTTATGTTGGAAAGTAAATAGAGGGATGCATATTATGTCCCCGATCCTGATCTAGCTAAGCTTGTCTGCTATTGCCAACAAATCAGTCAGGAATTTGAGGACGTACCTCCCCGGATAGATATTAAATCTTACCTGCCATTGCTGACAGCATCACAACCAAAGCTGCTGCTCCGTCCATTGTCCAAGATGCAGTGAATTCCGGGCACAAACGCACTACGATGTATCACGATTAAACCACTGAACAACACTTGGGTAACAGCCTCAACTCGAAAACTTGCCCAAAACTTTGTCTGATTAGTGCAAGGATTGGCAATCCGTCAAATTGTTTGTATTCATCTGATACTCACACACCACAACGATGAGGAATGCGTCTAAAACGGTACCGTGTATGACGCTATGATCCAGAGTCTGTTATGTTGATCGTATATCACCGAGTATACAAACCAAGGCACAGCTCGCCCCAGCAACAACGCAGCCGTGTACCACGGAACAGGCTTACGTCATAGGAAGCCTAGCCAATCATGAATTAGCCTGGAACGTTAAAAAATAAAATGAAACGTGAAGTATTGCAATAAAGAAGTTTTATCTTTGATATTAACGTGATCATATGATATTGACGGGGACGTGAGAAGGCTTTGAAAAGGCGACTAATTAAAACGCATTATGCCCTGTAGCCACCAACTTGCTCAATTAACGAACCTTCATAATAAACCACTAATGAGTTTTTGGAAAAATGTGAAGCGAGAGCGCAGACATTGTAATTAAGACGTTTTGTCCGTGATATTAACGTGATCGTAGAATAATGATGGGGAAGTTAGAAAACCTTCAAATGGCGACATATTAAAACGAATAATGCCCTGTAGCCAACAAGCGTGCTTCAATTAACGAACCTTCATAATTAACCACAAATGAAAGTTCGGAAAATGTGAAGCGAGAGCGCAGATATTGTAATTAAGAAATTTTGTCCTTGAAATTCATAGTGTTTACATAAATAATAATTCGAAGGCATCATCAGCAGGCTATCAAAAAGCAACATATTAAAACCAATTTACTCGCGCAGTATGGCCGAAGGGTCTTCCTATATTTTTTTTATTCATTTAAACTTCTTAGCCTATAATAGAGATGTTTACATTTGAGAGGTTATAAGAATTTAAACCAATCGAAAAGTGAAAATACATTGTAATTGAAGTGTGGCATTATATATCCTTCGACAACTATTCACAAGAAAAGAAAAGAAAATTTAATGTTCTCTTATGCATAACAGAGGTCTCTATGGAACAGTGACATTATATAAGCGCCTAGTATTGAAATATTTCAATAAAGTCGGTTGATGTCAAGCATGGGCGTAAATCCTGCAGGTAAAAGGGGAGGACATATCGCCCACACATGACGACAAGGGGTTAGTTTTGAGGTGGTGTACGTGTTCTACGGGTGGGCGTGTGGGTTTACATTTTACACATCGTGGACCTTCAACACAATGGAGGACAATAGGGTCAACGATTGACCGAATGTCCACTTTTGATTTGCGTGTACAAAACACATGAGATGTCTTCCAAAAAGAACTGGCCAGTATGACTACAGAAACGTTATGGGCCAATGCATTCTGGAAACAACCAAAACCCGTCGGGAATTGGCTTACTCATAATTGAGGTTAATAATAGTAATGTGGCTGTTTTTCTTAATAGTGTTAGAAAATAATGAAGTAGGAAATTGTAACGAGTTAAAATTGGCTATGGTTGCACTACTTTGATTGACTGAAATATATTGTATTCAGTATAATTGAAAGATTTTCCACCAGAAAGCGGTAAAATTTGTTTTTGGAAGTTCTAAGCGTTGTACCCAAAAGTTTTTTTGTGGTGGTGGTGGGGAGGGGAATCCCCTGGCCATGGTTTCCCATAATTGGCGGGATATTGTATTGCCTTCCATATACTTGTGTACAAAACATAGGAATGATCACGGTATAGTGCATCTTATAGGGATTACACCGTTGATACTAGAATTGGCAATGCGTTATTACTTAACTTATTGCGCATGAAGGTTACCGCTGCCTTCCTGCTGTCAATTAATCAGTCTGCCGACGTGGTTGACCTTACATTATTATAATTAACGGCCATGTAAAAGAAATTACTATATGAAGTCAAAGCACTGTCTGTAATATTACATCAGTATATGACGGAAATGACGGAATGACGGAAACATTGTACTTTTACCCAATTTCTTTCATGGTATATGCAACATTTACAAATTTTACAAAACAAAACTTCCAAATTATTACAAAATATCGTACTTGATTAGTGCTTTCACATCATGGTACTTGCCGTCAGTTTTAAGAAAAAGTAGATTTTTTTGTAGCAATTGTAAACGGTGGTTATGCAACCATCATTGGGGAAAAAACTGACTATTTTTTCAAATACCAACTCCAATTCACCAAAGATAGTTTGTCCACATTTTATTTGCCATCAGTTACACATCCGTAAACGGGTGCAAGCCACCTAGTCTGGTTCCCTGAACTGAACATTCCCTGCCATCTGTAAATTACTGCGTCTCGTCTGCAGTAGCGTCAAGGAATCGGACTACAATGATTTTTCCTTGTATTTTTGCCAGTATTAATGACCACAAAATTTAGCTAGGTCAGTGTAACAATATTTGTTACAAAATACTTATCTCAAACTTTGTCCATTTCTACAAATATACAACAAAAGCAAATGTTCTATATTACCTATTAATACAAATGAAATAGGAACAAAAATTTGATGATATATATGTGTCACCATATTTCAGTCTGTACAGATCAGGTACATTGTTTTTTTTTATATACTAGGATGACTAACTTATAGCAGCAGCAGTAACAGTAGCAGCAGCTGCAGCAGCAACATCAGCAGCAGCAGCAACAGCAGCAACAGCAACAGTAGCAGCAGCAACAGCAGCAACAACAACAACAGCAGCAACAACAACAACAACAGCAGCAACAGCAGCCAGGAGCAGCAGCAGCAACAACAGCAGAAAAAGCAACAACAGCACTAACAGCAGCAGCAACAACAGCAACAACAGCACCAACAGCAGCAGCAGCAGCAACATCGCAGCAGCAGCAGCAACAACAACAACAAAAGCAGCAGTTACAACAGCAGCAGCAGCAGCAGCAACAGCAGCAACAGCAGCAGCAACATGAGTAGCAACAGCAGCCAGCAACAGCAACGGTAGCAGCAGCAGCCTGCAGTAGCAGCAGCAACAACAGCAACAGCAGCAACAACAGCAGCAGCAGCAATGGTTTCAAAATTGGAGAAGGTTTATTCGACATTACGGAGAAGGTTCTTCTTACAAGCCGGATTCAATTTGTGGTCTCCCGCTCCAGTCGCTTCGCATCTTCGCCGTTTGGTATAATGCCGGTAAGATAAGGCATGGTGGCCTTGACGAAAGGCTACCCATGTCTATGCTCGCACGCAAACGCACGCACGTACGTGTACATGCATGGAAAGCGAGCTCTGTGACTTTCCATTTTTTTTTTTTTTTTAGCTAATTTGATTCATGCATTGTTTTGGCCTGGATCGAACATATTTCAGGTTGGAAAATTATTCCCATGGCATGTAAAACAAAATTAGGCATCACGCCGATGGGGGCGAAGATTCCCGAATTAACTGCGCGCGACCACAAACATGGATCGTCACCGTGCACGGACGATCACCAAGGCCGGCGAGTACAAGTGCGCGCACAATGCCCAGCCAACAACGATAATTATAACTGTGCGTGCATAATTACGCAAGCACACACGCTTACACAAGCATATAAGTGGGGTACTTCCTTTGTTCTCGTGTCCTAATGCCAAAATGCTCTTATTTTAACCAGAATTGTGTCCGACGGTCGATTATGTCCGCCCCATTGTGTCCGACGGCCGATTATGTTTTGAAAAAAATATATATAGGTGTATTAACAAGCAATGGCAGCCATTTTGAAAAGTTAGAAATTACTCGTCTACCAATAGTAACTTTTCAAATTAGAAATCTGCGACGGCTCTATAGCCAAATATCTGCAGTTACAATCCAAAGATTTAATAATGTCAGTACACAACCAAATGAATCCGGCGTAATCGACCATCTAAATACAATAGGTTGGACGTATCCCATCGTCGGACACAATGGGTCGGACATAATCGGCCGTCGGACACAATGGGTCGGACATAATCGGACGTCGGACATAATGGGTCGGACATAATTGGCCATTGCTCGTCAAAATCTGTTGTCGGACGTAATCGACCAAACGGACATAATGGTCGTGAACAGACGTATATCACTGAGTACAAAACGCCACTCGCTCACCTCAGCTGCAAAGCAGCCGCAGACCGCGAACAGACTGACGTCATAGGAAGTCTAGCCAATCATGAACGAGTAACGAAAGCAGAAACGTTTCTGATTTGTTCAATCTTACAGTATAGGTGGAGCTAACGCTGGAAGCGGGTAACGTAACAACCAATGGGTATCCCCCTTGTAATTACAGTTGCAAATTTTTACAAAATAGCTTGTGGAGCAAAAGGACCATCTTGACGACCATCGCAGCCATAAACATTCACGAATGGATATGAAACGGTGCGGCACCGTGTCCGCGCGGAAACGGCTTCCGGTAATAAACACAGAATCCTCAGCATCAAACAAGGTTGGTCTAGATAATTACACAACCGTGTATACAATGAACCTTTAGAAAACGATACGCATCGAGAAGGCCGTAATGTGAAAGATATTATGCCTTCGATGTTCAAGGCAGTGTTGATAGGATACGCCGTCAGAAGGAATTGAAATATGAAATATTAAATCCAATCACTTCGTGACAATGGAAGGGAAGCCTTAATAGTCATTTGCCCATAGCATGCATCAATACATCCTAGCCGGTACAGATGCAACTTAACGGAGCGTCGCGATCCGATGTGTGCACTTGGCTCGGTGATTATGATACTGAAACTGCTACCTTTTAAGCTCCTTGTCTCAGGGCCTTATTGTCTTTAAATTATATACAAACAGCTAGTAAACAGAGCAAAACAACGAAAGTATTGTGTAGGATGGGGCGTTGGGTTCTATAGGAATGTGTCAGTGTTGCTGGGCGCTCTCTGGTGGTAAAATAAAGTTGGTACAGACGATAACAGTACCTTGATTACGAGACTGCTAAACACGCGCAAAGAACAAAGTCGGA